GGCATATACGTATGATTCTAGTTCAAGCATGTGGGGCATAGGTGATAGGTATGATTCTAGTTCAAGCATGTGGGGCATAGGTATGATTCTAGTTCACGCATGTGGGGCATAGGTATATTCTAGTTCACGCATGTGGGGCATCGGTATGATTCTAGTTCAAGCATGTGGGGCATAGATATGATTCTAGTTCAAGTATGTGGGGCATAGGTATGATTCTAGTTCAAGCATGGGGGGCATCGGTATGATTCCAGTTCAAGAATGTGTGGCATATACGTATGATTCTAGTTCACGCATGTGGGGCATAGGTGATAGGTATGATTCTAGTTCAAGCATGTGGGGCATAGGTATGATTCTAGTTCACGCATGTGGGGCATAGGTATATTCTAGTTCACGCATGTGGGGCATCGGTATGATTCTAGTTCAAGCATGTGGGGCATAGATATGATTCTAGTTCAAGTATGTGGGGCATAGGTATGATTCTAGTTCAAGCATGGGGGGCATCGGTATGATTCCAGTTCAAGAATGTGTGGCATATACGTATGATTCTAGTTCACGCATGTGGGGCATAGGTGATAGGTATGATTCTAGTTCAAGCATGTGGGGCATAGGTATGATTCTAGTTCACGCATGTGGGGCATAGGTATATTCTAGTTCACGCATGTGGGGCATCGGTATGATTCTAGTTCAAGCATGTGGGGCATAGGTATGATTCTAGTTCAAGTATGTGGGGCATAGGTATGATTCTAGTTTAAGCATGTGTGGCATACGTATGATTCTAGTTGAAGCATGTGAGGCATCGGTATGATTCTAGTTCAAGCATGGGGGGCATCGGTATGATTCTAGTTCAAGTATGTGGGGCATAGGTATGATTCTAGTTTAAGCATGTGTGGCATACGTATGATTCTGGTTCACGCCTCTGTGGCATACGTATGATTCTAGTTCAAGCATGTGTGACATACGTATGATTCTAGATCACGCCTGTGTGGCATAAGATGTGGCATGTGATTCCAGTTCAAGCCGGTCTGCCATCGGTTCCAGTTCAAGCCTGTGGGCCATGACATTCCAGTTCAAGCCTGTGTGGCATAAGATTCTAGTACCAGCCTGTGTGGCACAGGATTTTAGTTTACGCCTGTGTTCCATGAGATGTGGCATGTGATTCTAGTTCACGCCTGTCTGGCATCTCGTTCAAGGTTATGTGGCATAAGAGTCCAGTCATGCCTGGGGGGGGGGGTCTTCAGATTCTCGTTTATGCCTGTGTGGCACAGGATTTTTTTTTTCAAGCCTGTGGGACATATAGGTCAAGCCTGTGTGGCATGCGATTCTAGGTTTCTGATTCACGCCTGTGTGTGCTGGAGATCTTAGTTCACGCCTCTTGCGGCAGACTGTTAGTTTTTGTATGTTTAATTGGCTGACGATATGTCTCAGTAGTGGTCGGTCGTGCTTGTTTTGTTCAAGAATGTTGACTTACTCTAATTTCACGTCCCTTGTCTTAAGCAGTTTCAGCGTGTTGCGGGCGTGACGCCTGTGGATCAGGCTCTTTTGTTGGTCAGGGCCGTCAGGCAGCTGGCAGGCCGTCCTGCCGATGTTTTGATCCCTGTGCCCTGATTTGGGCGTTGGCCATTCTGTGAAGCCCAGAAGGGGAGATTTAGTAACCCATGTTTTGGAAGATAATGTAGAAAAAGAGTTGGCAAAATTGCTGGTGACGGCGATTAATGCGTTTCTACCGCCGCTGCAGGAGAGTTCTTTGTTCCGACTTTGGCCATACCCGAGGGTGGCGGGGGTCTCGATTTGCACATTCAGCGCGGTGCTTTAATTGTGCACGTCCTGGCCATTTGGCGAGTAATTGTTCACATCAAGAAAAATAGATAATACGGAAACTATCACAGCCGTGTATGTTTGAGCCGAATCGTTAGTGAGCATGTGTTTTTTAGACTATCCGTAGTGTGTGATCTTGTCGTAGTGTTCGTCGTGGTGGGTTGAAATAATCTATCGTATGATACAAGCGCACCGGATATTTGTGTGCATTACATGTATACGGGGATATTTTGTGAATACCTGAATTTTCTAGTTGAAAGGAGATTGGTTCTTACTAGCGTCATTTTAGCGTGAATTCTATTTCATTAGTTGTTGGCTTGTGAGATAGATAAAGAAGGCTGTTCTTTTCGTTGCATTGTGTCCGTATGTGACCTTATCAGTTGGATGGGTTATGTTATTTTTTCTTATTTTGCAGCATCGTTTTTCCTGTTTTCTTTTTGGTCCCTTAGGGCTGGTGGGGGTCAACTTTCCCAGGGCTCACTAAAGCTCTTTGTGTTCGACTCTCGCAGTTGTGCCGGGACTGTTGTCTTCTTCCGGCTCTTAGGGGGGGGGGGG